ACTTTCTTTTCTCATCTTAATACAAATTCATTCACTACTACTTACATCTGATATTTAACTCCTTCAGCCTATTTTCAGCTGCAGAAACCATTCAACTATTACATTATTCAGCTATTTCAGGACATCAAGGCTATACATGTTTGTTTAAACCTTTTCTTTTAAATATTAAGCTTTTTCTCCATTTTGTAGCTAAAAGCAGCTACCATTCAGCTAATAACATTCAGCTTTTTCTGCATTTTCAACTAAATTCAGCCACAAATGTTCACAGTTTACAGCATTCGCACGCATTTTCTGCAGGAAATGCATTTTCTAGTTTCTACATACTGTGCAGATTCTGCATATCTTCTGAAAGTATAGTAACTACAGGTAATAGTAATTTTTAGCATTTCATATTTGAAAAAAGCCAGTGTTTGATGAAAATGTATTTAAAAATAATCCTTAAGTAAGTGTACTGAGTTATTTCCAAACACTATATATTATTTATCAGTTTTAAGCACTTACAAATACCTGTGAACATTTTGTACTATGGAAATGTAGGACACACACACACACACACACACACACACACACAACACCATGTACAGTGAAGTACTGAGCTTACATCACACCATCATGAATCATAACTCTACAGCAGATGGCAGCCTGTGTGTGTGTGTGTGTGTGTGTGTGTGTGTGTGTGTGTGTGTGTGTGTGTGTGTGTGTGTGTGTGTGTGTGTGTGTGTGTGTGTGTGTGTGTGTGTGTGTGTGTGTGTGTGTGTGTGTGTGTGTGTGTGTGGTCTCTTCACCTGCATCGTTGACAGCATATCAGTCATTTTGAAGAAGTGTGCCTCCTGAGTCCTGACAAGTGAAAAAATCCCAAATTTCAAATCAGCAGGCCGACAAAAGTGAGAATTCTCCTCATGCATAATTAATATTGATATTGCAGCGATACTCTAGGTTATTATCTTTAGTACTACGGAGATAATAGCTACGCAAATAAGCATGAACAGTCTGATAATATCCCTTTAATGCAGCCACTGAAACCAGACAAATATATACTTTTACAATATCAGAAATCGAAGGAGATATCTAGTCTCTTAACACCACGTGACGACCCCTGCCTCATTCTCTCCTGTTGTGTGTGCATGGCCCTTTAACGGTCTCCCTTCCTCCCTATCAGTCTTGATTGAGGACACCTGGCTGCCGGTGTTGTGTCAAATTATCATGTTTTTATTTAATTGAGACGTCCTGTCTGTATACTTGTGCTTGTACTTGTGCTTTACAATGTATTGTTTAGTACTTGAGGGTGGGATTAATATAAACATTTTTATTTTGGGGGGTGCTTTTTATGAACATCCTGGTTGCCACGATATGCACCCCTTGCTATCTCTGACAATAAACGTGTCACATACATGAAACGTGCTCCATTTATTGGTACTAGTCCTACAACTATACCCTCCAAAGTGCTTGAGGGTGGGATTAATAGAAGCATCTTTTTTTTGGGGGGGGGGGGGGGGTGCTTTTTACGGCAGGCCAGGGGGTGCATTTCACGACGGGAGTGCATCATTTGACACAACACCGGTACCGGAGGAGTGAAAGGCCTGAGCCAGAGTCTCGATGGCTCTCTCCGCTGAGGATCTGTTTTGGGAGAGCAGCTACTTCGTTTATGCTTTTGTCTTACTTTTATATTAGTTTTGGCATTCAAACACCTCGCACCACACCATGTTCACACACCCACTGCTACACTACTGATCTTACTCATTAACACATCACATTGGGGTAGCTTTTGTGTTAACGTTGGGTTATTGTAATACATATATTTTCTTATATCTTGTCCTTTCCACGCTTTTGTTATGGCCAAGAGCCAGGCCATGACAACCATATAATCCATATAATAATAATAATGACAAATATTATAATATATTCTGTATTGTGGGCTATTCAGATATAATATAACCAGGAAGACCCTCCTTAGTCTTATGACTGTGATAATGTTGATTTATCCCAGGGTAAACTGTGGTTTGAGATAGTTAAATTATAGATCTAAAATGATATAAAATAAAAGATGAATATTAAAAAATATTTATTTAAACATAAGAAGTTAATTTTAGGTAAAATATAAAAAAATAACATTTTAAGAAGAAAAATATCCAATCTAAAATAAAAATAAGTACAGTCAAAATATGTATATGAACTAGTTAATAATAAACGTACTATATATATATATACATTGGTGTATTAGTGTTAATAAGGTATTTGGTTTAAAGGGGTTTAAAGGCCCGGACACACCAAGCCGATTTCGGCCGTCGATAGATGTCTGGCCGTCGATGAGCGTCCTGTCGCCCTATTCAGATTGGTGTGTCCCACACCGTTGTGTCTTTTCGGCCGTGCCGACACCTTCCGCTCCCCGAGTCAACATGTCGAATTGGGGAGCTGCCGGCCAAAGAAATCACTCTGATTGGCTGTTCAGCTTAGCGAATCAGTGCATGAGAAGCGAGGTACGCAAACAAACGATTAAGAAGGCACACACAGACGGCTATTATTTTTCATTTTTATTTATTTGCTTCCACAAGCAACAGTCCGACGGCTGATACCACCAGTACCGCACTACACATGTTTTCGATGGACGAGAGTGAAAATGGAACGCACAGGCTATTTGTTGTTTGTATATATTACGCAGTCTGTCTTCCGGTTGTTGCCTCTTTTGAATGACGAATACACACTACCGCCGCCTGCTGGTAAGCAGAGTTATTGCCACTCACGCATGCGCAGTTCGTACGTGCAACTTGGCCGTCGGCTGAAGTCTTTGCGGTGTGTTCCAGTGCGACACATGGCCAAGACGCAGGAGACGTGAGGCGACACAACAGTCCTTTCTTTGGTGTCAGCTTGGTGTGTAGGGGCCTTATGACGTGTGTGTTTGTGTGTTGTTCTTAGTGTCTCTTCCTGCTTCCATTAAGAGTGATTAATGCTGTTTATAATCAATGACCACAGTCCGTCATCATGGCCTTTCTTATTACATTAATGAACTGAGTGACTCACGGTACCTGCTGAAAGAGAAGGGAAACACGTCATGTGATCTGTGACATCCTCACTGTCAGAAACGGAGAACATCTGGAAGATAAATCATAAGAAAACATGGTTAAAGATGTGTGTGTGTGTGTGTGTGTGTGTGTGTGTGTGTGTGTGTGTGTGTGTGTGTGTGTGTGTGTGTGTGTGTGTGTGTGTGTGTGTGTGTGTGTGTGTGTGTGTGTGTGTGTGTTGTTACTGGTTTATCAGTCTTGCATAACAAGTCCCCGATGCATTATCTGTCAGATACAGTCCCTTTATGATAAGATATCACACACACACACACACACACACACACACACACACACACTCACACACTCACACACACACACACACACACACACACTCTCTCTTTCCACAGCTGCCTGGCACATTCACTTGCATTTGATCTTTAGCACGGCGTTATAAATAATTCCCTTAATAAACTCTTATCATTAGAGTTTTAACCGTCAATAATTAATTAATGTATTGCTTACATTTAACACACTTTGTTTTAATTCTGACATAAAATGAACTCTCCATTTGAATCATTTACCTGTGTGTTTTTATACCTGTTTTTTGGCTAGAATCCAACTACTGCTGCAAGCAATATGGATAAATAAACCTGCTACCAGAGGTGGGAAGTAGTGGAGTACAAATACTTCGTTACTGTACTTAAGTACATTTTTCTGGTATCAGTACTTTACTCCACTACTTATTTTTCTGACAACTTTTTACTTTGACTTCTTACATTTTGAACCCAAATACCTGTACTTTCTACTTCTTACATGTTGAACACAAATACCTGTACTTTCTACTTCTCACATGTTGAACACAAATACCTGTACTTTCTACTTATTACATTTTGAACACAAATACCTGTACTTTCTACTTCTTACATTTTGAACACAAATACCTGTACTTTCTACTTCTTACATGTTGAACCCAAATACCTGTACTTTCTACTTCTCACATGTTGAACACAAATACCTGTACTTTCTACTTCTCACATGTTGAACACAAATACCTGTACTTTCTACTTCTCACATGTTGAACACTAATACCTGTACTTTCTACTTCTCACATGTTGAACACAAATACCTGTACTTTCTACTTCTCACATGTTGAACACAAATACCTGTACTTTCTACTTCTTACATGTTGAACACAAATACCTGTACTTTCTACTTCTCACATTTTGAACCCAAATACCTGTACTTTCTACTTCTTACATGTTGAACACAAATACCTGTACTTTCTACTTCTTACATGTTGAACACAAATACCTGTACTTTCTACTTCTTACATGTTGAACACAAATACCTGTACTTTCTACTTCTCACATGTTGAACCCAAATACCTGTACTTTCTACTTCTTACATGTTGAACACAAATACCTGTACTTTCTACTTCTTACATGTTGAACACAAATACCTGTACTTTCTACTTCTTACATGTTGAACACAAATACCTGTACTTTCTACTTCTCACATTTTCCAAACAGGCTGGTTCCTTTAGTTTGAATGTGTGTTTGGTGGCGTGATCATTATTATTTAGAGTCATTGCGTGCCTATTGATTTGAACACGATCCGTGTATCCATCATTTCCTGGTCTTCTCTAAAGAAGAGGGACCAATGAAAACGTTGTCATGTTGCCGTTGTTCAGCATGGAAACATTCATTAGCTAACAATGACATTATTGTTCTATTAATATAAAGGGAGGTCAGGTACTCTTTAAAACAGCTGCTAGTTATGGGTACTTTTTACTTAAGTACATTTCAAAGCCCTCTTTACTTTTACTTGAGTAAAGAAGTTTAGTCAGTACTTCTACTTTTACCAGAGTATTTCTAAACACGAGTATCTTTACTTCTACTCGAGTAAAGGATGTGTGTACTTTTGCCCTCTCTGCCTGCGAGTATACAACCCAGTACAGTTAGTTCCACTTATCACAGTCGCCAAAGGTCGTGGTGCATTTAT